TCAGGTCATGATCCCGGAGTCCTGGGATCGAGCCCCGCGTCGGGCTCCCTGCTCTGCAGGGAGCCTGCTTCTCCCTCTCCCACTCCCCCTGCTTGTGTTCCCTCTCCTGCTGTGTCTCTCTCTGTCAAATAAATAAATAAAATCTTTAAAAAAATAAAATTAAATGTGTTTTCGGTGTTTTTTTTTTTTCAAAGATTTTATTTATTCATTTGACACAGAGAGAGAGGAACACAAGCAGGGGGAGTGGGAGAGGGAGAAGCAGGCCTCCCGCAGAGCAGGGAGCCCGACGCCGGGCTCAATCCCAGGACCCCGGGATCATGACCTGAGCTGAAGGCAGACACTTAATGACTGAGCCACCCAGGCGCCCCTGTTTTTGGTGTTTAAATATTTTATTTATTTATTTATTTGACAGAGAGAGAGTACAAGCAGGGGGAGCAGCAGTGGGAGGGGGAGAAGCAGGTTTCCCGCTGAGCATCGAACCCTGGGATCATGACCTGAATGGAAGGCAGACACTTAACCAACTGAGCCACCCAGGCACCCCTGTTTTTGGTGTTTAATTCTACTATCATACAGGTTTCGGTTATAAAACACTGCCTCAAATTCAAGTGTGTAACCAGAAGCTTTGTTACCCATTTATCTACATTCACTTTTAGAACAGCAACAATATGCAGCTACTGAATAATTCAGGTGCTGAATCAGTGGCATGCTGGCAATAAAGTAAAAAGGCAGACCCAAGGAACACTCTGGAGCCCAACTTTGTGACACTATAAACAACGAAAGGTATTTGTGCTGGGCTCGGAAAAAGAGCCAAAGCGGAAAAAGGAACAGCTATGAGAGTATTAACCACATCATCCAGTCTCCAAATCTAATTTTCCACGTCCCTTCCTTTTACTTTCTGTGCAACTGTGAAGTTTTACTTGACCATTTCCTAGTCTATCATCATAGTAGTACCTACTATAATAGGTTGTTATGAAAAGTCATTTAACCAATATAATGCTTATTATTGTTGGACATACACATTCTCAGTGCTTGTTTTGTTGTAGTTTACAGTATATTCTTCCCATGTAATGAGTTCCAGCTTGGTTTTTGGCCCCAAATATCCCTCCACATTCCATATAATGGAATTGTGTTGAACTACAATGAAATAAGGACAAAATTTAGGCCTAAGATAGGGGCAAGTCAAGTAATTTGCTTCTGAACCTTTTTTCCCTAGGCCTACACTTTGGTATCTCGGCTTTTACTATCTCACTTAACACAAAGGAAGCAGTAAAAATGTAGAAAAACAGTATTCTCCTTAAGGCACCCACTTAGTGCTCTTATTCCCGAATTTCATCCTGGTGGCCTTCTGGTCTTCAAAGTTTATTTGTCAGAGACGGAGGGAGAGAGAGAGAGAGAGCACAAGCAGGGGGAGCAGCAGGCAGAGGAGAAGCAGGCTCCCCACTGAGCAAGAAGTCCAATGCGGGGCTCGATCCCAGGGTCCTGGGATCATGACCTGAGCAGAAGGCAGAGGCTTAACCAACTGAGCCACTCGAGCGTCCCCAGTTTTATTTTGTTTTTTGTTTTTGTTTAAGATTTTATTTATCTCTTTGAGAGAGAGTGCATGCATGAGCAGGGGCAGGGGCAGAGGGAGAGGGGGAAGCCGACTCCACTGAGCACAGAGCCTGACACAGGACTCTACATGGGGCTCCACACGAGGCTTGATCCCAGACCCCAAGATCATGACCTGAGCCTAAGTCAGACACTTAACCAACTGTGCCACCCAGGCGTCCCCACCAGTTCAGTTCTTTATTTTTTTTAAAAGATTTTATTTATTTATTTGAGAGAGAGAATGAGAGAGAGAGCATGAGAGGGGGGAGGGTCAGAGGGAGAAGCAGACTCCCTGCTGAGCAGGGAGCCCGATGTGGGACTCGATCCCGGGACTCCAGGATCATGACCTGAACCTAAGGCAGTCGCTTAACCAACTGAGCCACACAGGAGCCCCCCCCCACCAGTTCAGTTCTATTCTTCTGCTCTTCTCAAGAACATCACCTCCTACAGTGGCTTAATTTTAAATTTGGAGATCAATATATTTTTTAAAGATTTTATTTAACAGAGAGTGACACAGCGAGAGAGGGAACACAAGCAGGGGGAGTGGGAGAGGGAGAAGCAGGCTTCCCAAGGAGCAGGGAATCCGATGCGGGGCTCGATCCCAGGACCCTAGGATCATGACCTGAGCTGAAGGCAGACGCTTAACAACCGAGCCACCCAGGTGCCCCCATTTATTTTTTTATTTAGTAATGTCTACCCAACATGAGGCTCGAACTCATGACCCCAAGATCAAGAGTCCCACGCTTTTCCTACTGAGCCAGCCAAGCACCCTGGAGGATCCATTTTAAACTTGACCCAAAGGATTTGCTTCAAAATAATACAATGGGGAAAATGGAAAGGGATATAAAGCAAGATGGGCCTGGAGTTCATCATTGTTGAAGCTGGGTAAAGGGTGCAAAGTGTTCAACATTCTACTTTTTTATGTCCCCAATAGCTGGGGAAAGTAGGGAGATGAAGAGAAATTGTGCAATCAGCTATAAACCTAAGAGATGGACCTTTAAGGTCTTTTACATATTCTGGTCCTCTTTGTGCTCATTTTTTCTTCCTTCCCTTACTCCACATCCTACTTTTTTTCTGCCGTGAGAGTATCAGCTACATGTGTGCTATCTCAGGGAGGTAAATAGAAAAACAAGTTTAGCACTTAACTTTTTGGTTAAGGCAGGGAATAGACTGGGCAATGTTAAAAGCCTGCCAGAGACAGAGAATGTGGATCAGAATCTCAGCTTGCCTAGAGAACTCTGCCACCTCCTTGCGGATGGTGGCAGAGACACCCAAAGTTGAAGTACAAACCTGAAATCAAGGACTCCATTTTTTTTTAAAGGACATTGGCAAGCACCGGGACTGAAACACTTTCCAGGTGAACTAAACTTCCTATCCTGTGAATGCTTCACAAGGGCTGAGTGAACGGAAATGTGCTAGACAGAGGGAAATACAGGTATACTTCCTGCCGTGAGGTTGTAATCTAAATTCAGAATCGATACACTTGAACTCTGTAACAAGAGTATGTATGTCAAGTGATCCTGACAATATAGAACAGTTCTGAAATAGCAGACCTCAGCCAAGACTTGACTGTAGCCTGAAGAATGGAAAGAATTTGGATTTGAGAATATTGCAGAACTCCATATGGACAAAGAAAGAGTAATTGGAATAAAGGACTGTGTGGGATTCAGAAACAAAGTGCTACATCTTCTTAGTTTTCTGTGGCTTACGTTAGGTTTTTAAATTATCAAGTAGAGCACCAGTAAAAATGCAAGGATAAAATGATCTGACTGCTATAACAGTTAAACATTTCAAAATCAAAGTTTCAGTGATTTAGGTTTTAAAGGATGGTTGTTTGGGGGCGCTTGGGTGGCTCAGTCGGGTAAGCGTCTGTCTTTGGCTCAGGTCATGATCTCAGGGTCCTGGGATTGAGCCCCACATCGGGCTCCCTGCTCAGCAGTGAGTCTGCTTCCCCCTCTGCCTGCCACTCCCTCTGCTTGTGCTGTCAAATCAATCTTAAAAAGAAAAAAAAGGGTGGTTGTTTGAACTCTATCTGGAGTGCATTTATCCTTGGTGGCTTTTACAAATCCTCACGGCAAACAGAAAAAAACTTACCACCTTGGAAAAAGATGGCTTACCCATGCCCTCCCACCATGACCCTAACTCTTCCAGGAATAAAAGAGCACACACGCTTTGAGATTAAACAGGCAGGTTTTATTATCAAATGTAACAATTCTACGAAAAGTCAGTAGTATTGTGGTATTACTTTCTTAAAGTCTTTCAGAGCTTTGGGCAGACAGCATCTTAAGGCATCAAGTATAAACAACTCTTTTTCTGATCTTAAGTGCCAGTTGTCACCAATTTTCACACCAAATGGTATTGGGTTTTTTTCCTACTGCAGTTAGAGGGCCGTGGCTGGCCAGGTGAAGAGGGAATGTTTGGCTCTCCGTTCAAGGTGTTAATCAAAGTAATGCAACGGAAATAAAAATAGCAGCCACAGGAATCTGCAGAGCATTGCATCCAAACCAAGGACAATAGGGGTAACTTAAAGACACGTGTGCACTTTATCAAATCCTGTTTTCCTCTCTGGAGTTGTAGGAGGCAGCAGTACTCGTTAGCTAGTGTCTAATATTGCACTTTTTAGCATAAACACAGCTAAACACACAGTGCTAAACACTGACATTATCAGTACCTGCTTTAACGGCTTCAGTGTTTACTGCTCAGTCCAGCATGCTGACTACAATCCTAGGCTTTTAAAAGTTTTAATTATTTGACAGTTAAGGCATTAGAGAGAAAGGTTTAAGGCTCTATCTTAACATATACCAGCATTCACTTCAGTTAGTATATTGCTTTCTAGAATACACTGTTCAAATATTCTCATTTACGATATTAAAAACTATGGAATTTCTCTTATTAAAGTCCAGACCATCAGTAATGGGAAAAGTACAATATAAAATAATACATACGAAGCCACAATGTTCAGTTACAGTTTAAACTAGAAATTACTAACTACACATAGCTGCTTCATTTTTGGTTTTGCATTTTGGCCCCTAGTTCATTCTTATTTACAATGGTACCTGCTGAGAAAAAAAGAGGGAACTTTGAAGCTAGGAGTGTTTGGTGGTGGGTGCGCGAGGTCTTCTGATTTATCCCAAGGTGTTTTAAAAGGCAGTTTCCTTGGTTTAACTGTAAGACATCATGAGGGCCAAGAAAGTGGGAAAATATGATTTTTATTTAAGTTTGTGACTTAAGGATTCTAAGACCTTATTCCTGAATTACTTAGTGAGAGGGCACACTTGTGCAGAAGACAGGGAGATGGAAAACGAAAAATGGAAACACACAAATGAAGCTTCCACAACAGTTATTGATGGAGATGGTAGACACTAGTATTTTTTTTGTCCAAGACTTAAAACTTAGGAAACACCAATGATGCCATGTTAGCTGGAAGTAATGGAGTCACCCGATTTCAAATTCACATTTTAAATGCCTATTTGCAATCAGCAAGGAGCCAGGCATGCTGCTTGCTACAAGGATTTGGCTTCACCGGCTCAAATTTTTTACTCTCCCAAAAGGTAGGGCAAAAGCCCACTGTCCAATCATGTTTGCTGAGAATACTGCAGCCTGAGTATAGACAAACTTCCCATGAAGTTGCTAGAAGTTGTCATATCTGACGGTTTCAGGATCACCATACATCTTTCAAACACTGGAAAAAAAACAAACAAACACCATAATAAAATATTATAGTCTCCAAATTTCTCAATTATTGGGAGCTATAAAAAATTATTTTGAATGACACAAGGTTTAAAAAAAAAAAAAAGCCTTAGGTAGTCCAAATTTTTATTTTATACATAGCTGGCATTCACAAGGCAAGTTCTCAGAGAGTACAGTGCTGGTAAGTGAAGTTTGTGATAACTGGAATTTCCACAACTCCCTACCCTGTGTATTACCATACATGATAATGTGTATGTTTTCACCTCTATACTTCACTCAGCTCCTTTGTGGAGAGACCATTTTACAATGTCTATATGCACACAGACATTCCTCAGTCTGGGTTCCCAAGTTACCACAGCATTCTTCTGATATTAGAGGCTCGATACTACTATTAAAACCATTAAGACAATTTTTAAAAATTAAATTCTAGTATAAGAAATTTCAAATAATGTGAAACAAAAATATCTGAGTAAGAAGCAATGAGGCGGGGCACCTGGGTGACTCAGTCCATTGAGCATCTGCCTTCGGCTCAGGTCATGATCCCAGGGTCCTGGGATCGAGCCCCGCATTGGGCTCCCTGCTCAGCGGGAAGCCAGCTTTTCCCTCTCCCACTGCCCCCCTGCTTGTGTTCCCTCTCTCACTGCCCCCCTCTCTATCAAATAAATAAATAAATAAAATCTTAAAAAAAAAGGCAATGAGGCATACATTATAGGAAACATGAACTCTACATGTGAGTAGCTGATTAACAACCTTTATGTGGATTAATTCATTTATCCACACAACCATCCTATAAGATTACCATGTTATCCCCATTATGCAGATGGGGAAATGGAGGCATAGAGCAATTAAACCAGTAATTAGCAGGTCCAGAATTTGAACACAGATTGGTTCCACTATGCTATTTCACTTATACAACACACTTGGGCTCCATGCTCAGCAGGGAGTCTGCTTGAGATTCTCTCTCCCTGTCCCGCTTCCCCTGCTCATGCCCGCAAGAGCGCTTTCTAAGAAACAAACAAACAAATAAATCTTTTTAAAAAATTACTGTGGGATGCCCGGGTGGCAGTTGGTTAAATATCTGCCTTTGGCTCAGGTCATGATCCCAGGGTCCAGGGCTCCGCATTGGGCTCCTTGCTCAGCAGGGAGCCTGCTTCTCCCACTGTCTGCCACTCCTCCCCCACCGCCCCCTGCTTGTGTTCTCTAACAAACAAAATCTTTTTTAAAAAATTACTACAATTTGGGGACGCCTGGGTGGCTCAGTCGTTAAGCGTCTGCCTTCGGCTCAGGTTATGATCCCAGGGTCCTGGGTTCGAGCCCCGCATCGGGCTCCCTGCTCAGCGGGAAGCCTGCTTCTCCCTCTCCCTCTCCCTTTCCCACTCCCTCCACTTGTGTTCCCTCTCTCGCTGTGTCTCTCTCTGTCAAATAAATAAATAAAATCTTAAAAAAAAAAAAAAACACCTTAGAAAAAATTACTACAATTTGGTGACTTAAAACAACAGAAACTTATTCTCTCACAATTCTGACAGCCAAAAGTCAGAAATCAAGGTTATCAGCCAGGATGCATACCCTCCAGAGACTCTTGGGAACATTCTTTGCTTCTTCCAGCTTCTGATGGCTGCAGATGCTCCTTGGCTTATGCCTGCATCATCCCAGTCTCTGCCTCCATGGTTGTACTGCCCCCTCTTCTCCTGTATCTGCCCATTCTCCTTCAGCCTCTTGCATTAAGGGCCCACCCAGATAATGCAGGATAAATTCCTTTTCTGAAGATCCTTAATTTACATTTTTGGCCAGATAAGGTAACAGTCACAGGTTCCAGGGATTGGGACATGGATATATATTTGGGACCGCTGTTCAGCTGACTATAAGTACTTACTCTGCCATGCTCTTATTTGCTCAATGAAAAAGAGTACCAAGACTGAAACTAGAAGTGATGGATCTTTTGGTCAGCTTGGTCATAAGATGTATGACTCTGAAAGTTACCCAGCCTCCTGGGTTTCATTTCCTCATCTGTCATATGGAGCCATAGGGCACCCGCCCCGATGCCTCACAGTGCTAAGACTCAAGAGGCACTGGAGGTATAAAATGTTTAAGAGCATAAGGCCCTCTATTGGTGTAAGTATCATCTACTGGTGATGATAAATCTGATTATTAATATAGATGAGTTGAAAACAATATATAGTCATACTATAAGGTTAAGAGGAAAAGAAACTAGGTCCAAATTGCATGAGGGCATACAAAAAAGCTGAAATATTCATTGTGGTTATTTCTGGAGGATGGAATTATTAGACTTCTTTGTACATGTCTATACGTTCCAAATTCTTTAAAATGAACACACAATACTTTTGTGATCCTTACCTCCCAGGGTTGCTGAGATCATTAAAAGAGATAACTTATAACTTATGCCAAGTGTTTCACAAAATACCCCACGTAAATTTTTTATAATTCTCAATATAAAAGCAGATTAATCTGATGTTAGAATAAAGTGCAAATTTTTTTTTTTTTTTAAAGATTTTATTTAGGGGTGCCTGGGTGGTTCAGTGGTTAAGCGTCTGCCTTCAGCTCAGGTCATGATCTCAGGGTCCTGGGATCGAGCCCCGCATTGGGCTCCCTGCTCAGCGGGAAGTCTGCTTCTCCCTCTCCCACTTCCCCTGCTTGTGTTCCCTCTCTCGCTGTGTCTCTCTCTGTCAAATAAATAAAGTCTTTTATTTATTTATTTGACAGAGAGAGCGCGCAAGCACGAGCAGGGGGAGTTGCAGGCAGAGGGAGAAGCAAGCTACTTGCTGAGCAAGAAGCCCGATGTGGGACTTGATCCGAGGACCCCAGGATCATGACCTAAGCCAAAGGCAGATGCTTAACCGACTGAGCCACCCAGGCGTCCCAAAAATCTGGGTTTTAACAGAGCACCTGATTTGCTATTCTATCATGACCCCAAGCATAAGATAGAATCAAAGGTGAGTAATGGTTATAGTCAATTCAGGGTATTTCTAACGTAATGGCAAAAAGTCCCATTTCTAATTCAATATGTTCATTTTACTATATAGATAGTATGCTTATCAAATTCATAAACAACATTTAGAGGTTGAATAAAGAACATTTCAAATGACAAAGTATGGACCAAAAAGAGTATCAGAAGTCTAGATTAATGTGCTCCCATCACTGTGTACTAGACTAGAAAATACCCACTTCCCACTGCAAAGTATCTGGGCATGGTGCTCTCTAGGACCCAAGAGATCTTGAAACCTCACAGAAAATGGCAGAGAATCATCACCTCCACCCCCAAACTGAGGTTTCTAAAACTTCAGAAGGAGAGTCTAAGACCCCAATTGTCATTTTTCAAGGACAACATTCTACTACTAGTAACCACGTTTTCCAATTTAGAATCCATATGGTTAAGGCCCATAGGATCCTCAGCCATAAATATGGTAACAAAATTTGAAGATGGTATGCCAGGAAACCAATTTCAGCAAACTCAATAATAAAAAATGAAGAAATTAAGCCACACCAATTCCTGACCATGTCCCCACAATACATTCTCTCAAGCAGTCTCACACAGAAAGCCAGTATCCTTTAAGAAAAGTTTACCAATTAAACTATTTTCAAAAACTATCAGGGTTCCTTCCCTCTAGATTTAGACAATGAACCTTAAAAACACTATGCTAACAGAAATAAGCTAATCATGAAAAGACAAATATTGTGTTATTTATGAGGTACCGAGAATAGTCAAATGCATAGAAACAGAAGTAGAAAGGTTGCCAGGGGCTGAGGGAAGAGGGAAATGGGGAGATCCAGTTTGAGAAGACGAAGCCAGATGGTGGTGATGGTTACAGAATAATGTGAATGTACTTAATGCCACTGAACTGTACGCTTAAAAATGGTTAATTTTATGTTATCTATACTTACAACTATCAAAAAAAAAAAAAAAAAAAAAGAAATGGGGGGAAAAAGTACACCCAACTCAATAGAATTACCATAGGACTCAGTGATTCCACTCCTAGATACATGCCCAAGAGAATTAAAAACAGGTACTCGAGGGCGCCTCAGTGGCTCAGTTGGTTAAGCGACTGCCTTCGGCTCAGGTCATGATCCTGGAGTCCCGGGATGGAGTCCCGCATTGGGCTCCCTGCTCAGCGGGGGGTCTGCTTCTCCCTCTGACCCTCCCCCCTCTCATGCTCTATCTCAGTCTCTCTCTCAAATAAATAAAATCTTAAAAAAAAAAAAACAAAAAAACCCCCAGGTACTCGAAGATTTGTACATAAATATTCATCTCAGCGCTGTTTACAGTAGCAAGAAGGTGGAAACAACCCAAGTGTCTATCAGTAGAGAAATGAACAAAATGTGGCATATCCATACAATGGAATATTATTCGGCCATAAAATGGAATGAAGTACTGATACATGCCACAACAAGGATGAACCTCAAAAACACGTGAAGTGAAAAGCAGCCAGTCACAAGAGTCATATATTGTAGGATTCCATTTATATGAAATATCTACTATAGGCAAATCCACGCAGACAGGAAGCATAGTGGTTGCCAGGGTCGATGGGGAAGGAAAACAGGAGAGATACTGCTTAATGAGCATGGGGTTTCCTTTTGGGTGATTAAGAGGTTTTGGAACTAGATAGAGATGGTATTTACACATGTTGTGAATACACTAAATGTCAATGAATTGTAGACTTAAAAATTATGGATTTTGTTATGTGATTTTTACCGCAGTTAAAACAAAAACAAAAAGCATACCCAACCTGCATTCCACATGAAATACAGCAAATGGATTTCCAAATGGAAAAGTTTTCCCTTGAGCCCAAAATAACATACAACTATTATCCATAAATGTTACTTAGATACGGTCTCCTTGGGCGACACACTGAATTCCAGTCTCCCATTTCTTCCAGGATTTCTGACCCTCCTACATCACACTAAAGAAAAGGGGAAACTTCTCACCCAACTCATAAAAAATACTTTCAGATTCTCTACCTCTTTTTGTCTGACCCTTTATGATTTAGCTTTCACATCATAGTGCCTTACCTTCTTTTCTGAGGATCGTCTAACTGCTGGGGCCCTTAAATACAAACCCATTCTTTGGGTAGAGTCCTGGCCTGGTCATTTGTGTGTACAAATCCATCATCGGCTGCATACTAAAATGCAAGTTAGAACAAACAGGATCAAAAGATGGACAAACTGCCACTATGGATGATTAGTATTTTAACTGAATAGATCTACCAACAGTATTATACTCTATTTAGACTGTGGGAAACAAGTTAAAACTCTGGTATAAACCACATACATAACCACAAATCCCAAGTCACCACATCCTACTTAACATGTCTAAATACCATAAAACTTCCTTTTAGGAAGTTCGTTCTACTGAACACAGGGATAAGAAAAGAATACCCTAACACAATAAACACCAAACCTTTCAGATCTTGCTAACGGTACAGTTTCTATGATACCACAGGTGTGACTAGATGCAAAAGAGTTGAGTACCAACTATTTGTAAGGTATTGTACAATACGCCCAGCCTCTGCAAACAACTCTGTGAACTTTAAATATTAGATGTTACTGGGAATATCAGCCTAATTCTCCCAGGAGGACAGCAAGTAAAAATATCAGCAGTGGCAGGCTCAACGAAATACTGATTAAAGTCAGTATTTTGAGAAGAAACAAAAACTAGCACTATTGAAAATGCAAAGCCACTAACAGTAAACGGTAAAGCAAAGAGCAAATAAAGTTAAAGGAATTATGAAAGGATACCAGCAAAGAGCAAATAAAGTGAAAGGAATTATGAAAGGATACCAGACAGTCCAGAATAAGAGGCCCATTAACGAAAATACAGATACGGGTTTATTTTCACAACCAGAATGACATTCTCCTGACCGAATATTTTCATGGTAGCTTGTCTTGATATAGTCAGTTCTCATTCTATAAATCTCATTTATCAAAATGGACCCAACCCAGGCACTTTAACTTTATAAAATTATAGATTTTTTCATTATATATATATATATATATATTTTAAATCTCTACACCCAATGTGGAGTTCAAACTCACGGCCCCAAGATCAAGAGTCACGTGCTCTTACGACTGAGTCACCCAGGAGCCCCTACCTCAAGATATTTTTTAAAGGCAGAATCAGAAACTATCAAGAGATTTCATTCACTCAACTGATTATTGCCACCTATTTGTTTAAATTATATATTACATAACCATATGATAATCGTAACCAGAAATCAAATGAAAACCTCCCATTAAATCAAAAACAGCAAGAAATACACCATAAATAAAGACAAACACAAAATACACTTAAGAGAACACAGTTTTAAGTCATCCTCCACTGATTCTGTCTTACAGTAAAGCCACACCTAAACAATCTGAAATCCTATAGCGAGTGGCTATTACCAAAATAATGGAGTACAGGGGAAAAAAAAAAGGCAACATGGACTCTCAAAGACAGAAAATATGAGCCTTTATGTAAGAGTGATACAAAAGATTTCAGAGGCATGCACAGTTACTGCCTTAAAGATGAAATTACTAAAGACACTGGAATAATTTGATATACTTATTAGGTGAGGTTCCTATGTAATCTTTAAGTATAAGCTTTAGGCCCAACCTGGGGTTTGAACTCACCACCATGAGATCATGAGTTGCATGGTCTACCAACTGAGCCAGCCAAGCACCCCAGGTTCCTACATAATCCTAATTTGTTGATCCAGTTCATAAACTCAAGCACTTCAGCAATGAAGGCCAAATGACTTGAGATGAAATAGTTTTGCACAATCTTCTTACTTCTGATTATACCAGATAACTCTAACCTTCAATGATTCCCAAGAAGCTACTAGAAAATAAACTGCTACAAACTTATTTGATCTCAACTCTGAAGCATGTCAATCTTTTAGCTATAAATCTAGAAATAACTGCTTTTGTTTGTTTCTGGTAGAATAAATACCCATAAAAGCCAGCCATAGAACTCTTCACAATAAGAGCAATTTTGCTTAATGTCATAACCAATTTATGTATATGATCACTTCTCTATTCAGTTGAAGGTGAAAAGTTGATTAGTCAAAACAAAAAAGAAAATTAATTCAGCTAACCCCTAAAACTTGAAACTTTGCTTGTAACTTTCCAGAATTAGAAAACATTGGAAGAAAATATTGAAACTCAAATGTTTATCTTGGTCACATTAAGCAATTTCTTCAATAGCCTTCAGTAAAATTCTATTCCTTTCATAATCTCATGAATCTCATATGAAGTTTAGAAAGTAACTTTGTTTAGTTCTGCAAGAGCTCCCAGTAGGCAGCATATTGGATTAAGGAAGAAGCAAAGTCTCTCCAATAGTCCCCCTTATCAGCAGTTTCAGTTACCCTCCACAAGAAGCAGAGGATCCTAATGCGACATCACGATGCCTAAGTCATTCACCTCAATTCCTCTCACCACATAGGCATTAAGCCAGGCAGTAACAAAAAGTAACTTTTGTCCAACCTTCATTGGATTTTCTTCATTTGCCAGAGAATACTCTATGTTAAAAGCCCATAAGACCATTACAGTAACTTGGTGGGTTTGTGGCATTTCCACTGAGATCATTTTAGCTGAGCTCTACAGTCCTCCATGATTCATGGCTATCAAGCTTGTAAACCCATTCTAACAGCGAAAACAGCCTCTGCAAGCATGACCTGTACAACGCTGTACTGTAAATGCTCAGGCTTATTTTAGGATTTGACATTTATGTCTATAAACACTTTTCAACTCTAGAGACTCAAGCAAAGTTCAGCTCCAAGAAGAAAGATAATTTTTGCTATTGATGCAATAAAAAAGCTTCAGGATACGGATTTTTAGACATTGCAGGAAAGGAATTCAGGTTCTAGGTAATTATGTCATTTGTGGAAAGAAAGATTGCTCAGATGTGATGGCATGAGGAGATTTTGCTTCCTGTTAAAGAGCTCTTATCAAGAAACATCTCATTTTTTAGCTTGAGCCAGAAAACAACTGATAGACACCGGCAGTTGTAGAAAAACCCGGTAAGACTGAATATTCGTTTTACAAGAATTACAGCAGATCATTTCATAAAAGGCTTATTATCCTATAGCTCATTTTAATAAGTTAGCATCTAAAGATTCATTGAGTCTCCTTTGTTTTTTTCCAGGTTAGGCAGAGAGGCCTCTAACCACTTTTTAAATACTCAAGCTTCATGTTTAAGTACATTTTTGTTGTTGTTGTTGTTAGTCAAGAATGTGACTTTGATGAAAACTCCTTAGCAGCCAACCCTATTCTGGATGAAAAGACCCACACTGCTGTGTGCTCTGAAGATCTTTCCCAAAATAGCCCGATTTTCAAAAAGAGCACCAACAGATTATGTTGACACAAGTAGAACAGCACAGAAAAGCCCTCATCTTGTCAAAGGGGTGAGTTTGAAGTTAGCATTCACACGACTAGTCCCTCTGACATTGCCTCTGGTTCTTTTTGCCTCTGTAAGCAAATCTATCAGCACATGTACACATGAGGTTCAGAGAATCTGCTTCTTTCCTGGCTGCATTCTTCAGACAAATCAACGTAAGTAATAAGGGCACTGTGTATTTTTCTTCTTCAAGCTACTGACCTGGTAACCTTGGAAGAAGTTAAGAATTTCCTTAACTCCAGTATTGTAGGCCAGGCCCTGCATTCTGACCACCGTGCCAGGCTGTGGAGGGACACCGCTAAGATTAGCAGCTGTAGGGAAGTAGCCAAGACTATTGGGCGAACCTGGGGGGCTAAAGGGAGAGAAAGCACAGTGAACCAATAGGAATAGACAACGTCCAATATTTACTCTAAAAACATTGGTTATTTAAGGAAACATATTCTCAAGATGATCTTTCTTAGAATTCTCAGTTATCTCTCCCAAGACAGGTAAGAACACCATAGCTGATCTGTCCCACATTTCCACAAAAGTCAAAAGTTGAAAAGTAGAACAGTCAATATAGAGTTAAGTGCAAGGCTTCCCCAGAAATCCAGTTCTGAGATTCTTAAAGGGACAGGAAGGAGAGAATTAAACCTTCACAGTCACTCAACCACAAAGCACCACTTCCAAAGCCCAGTTCATTGATGATTAACTGGCTAGTTACCCAGAATAGTAAGGCATGAAAAGGCATGAATTCAAAGGACTCCTAGGAACCATAGCCACAGAGACCAAAAGTATCCAAAGTTATTGCTCCAAAGAATAGACTGTTCTACCCGTATGTACAAGCAATTGTACAGCACAAAACACAAAGTACTATAGCACTCATGAGTTAGTTCTTCCAACCTGACTGGAAAAAAAGGTAGTGAAGTGAGTAAATTGGAAGGACACATAACAAATTAAATCAATCACCATTAACACAAGGGGAAAATTGATGCTTGTGTCCTCTTGCGTATCTGCAGCAATTACCTCCAAGGAGAACAAGCCAAGTGAATACATAATCATTCTTCATGTGGCAACTCAAGTGATTACCATATTATGAAATTAGTTTCATCCTGTCCCCCACCCAATCTGTTTTCCATCACAATTAGTGGCCAGATACCTGTAACTGAAAATATATAGGGGAAATTTTTTTAAGGACCTTATTACCTTAAAGAGCAATAAAGACCCACAGCTTTAGATTATTAAATCTTATAAATCTAGGTAATTATCCAATTTCAAAGACAAGTAAACACATAATGGAAGGGACTAAAAATCTTTGAGATTATTCCTCCTACATAATCCTAACTGATGGGCTAATAGGAATAGTGTCAGATGTGCATATAGTTCCAGATTCCATTTTTTTTTTTATTAGCACAGTAACTTTGAGCAAGTCACTTAATTTCTCTGAACTTCAATTTCATCATTTGCAAAATGGGGATAATAGCACCTTCTTAGTTTCACAGAACTGTTCTTCAGATTCAATGATATAACATACCAAATTACTCCATAAATCATAAAATGAAGTAATTTATGTTATTTCCATAACCATCATTCCATTTCATCATTTTTTAAATATTAGAGCCTGAAGATATTATTTGACATCAAGCTGCCCTTAACCTTTTAAGTCTATAAAGCAATGATCCTCAACTTGTTTGCATATTAGAGTCATTTGCGAGATGTTTACAACTTTGTATGAGGAGAGCCTGTTTAGAAGCTAATAGTCAATCTATGTGCAACTAGGAGAGCAAAGACAGAGGGAATGCTGAACTTTACACCTGAGCAGAAATTTAGTCATCACTCAGACACCACTCCTATTTTTACAAAGGTAGAAACAGAAACTAAGAGTTAAATAATTTCCCAAAGGTCACACAACCAGTTAGCTCTTCAAACAAACCAGAAGAACCACCCAGATTTTTCAACCACTCACTCATTCAAAGACCATATTTTGCTCATGTCAAATGCCTCATAGATACTAACTCTAATTCACAAGGACCACCAAGCCTTCTCTGTGTATTTAATTGTTATTCAGTTTTCCACACTGACGATGAGACTCAGACTGTTTCCACAGTATACAACTTACTTCCATGCTCTGTCCTGACACAGTCTAGTCCTTTGGCTAAAGATCTCCTATAAATTAAATCTAGGTGTCGAATACATTCAAAATACAAACAAGACAAAACAGAAAAAAGTTATCCCACTGGAAATGTAAGGCTTTAGTGACAACTATGTTCAGCATCTATAAGGAAGCATCCTTTCTCATGAAGCCTAAACTTGGAATCCTATCCTTGTGTTTTGCACTAGGATTCCTGCTATACACAAGGCATACTAAGGAAAATTAAACAACTGTGTATCTACCTGACAGGACATGAGAGTAAGAATTTTCTTTTTTTTTTTTTTTTTAAGATTTTATTTATTTATTTGAGAGAGAGAGAATGAGAGAGAGCACATGAGAGGGGGGAGGGCCAGAGGGAGAAGCAGACTCCCTGCCGAGCAGGGAGCCTGATGAGGGACTCGATCCCGGGACTCCAGGATCATGACCTGAGCCGAAGGCAGTCGCTTAACCAACTGAGCTACCCAGGCGCCCGAGAGTAAGAATTTTCTAACAACCTAAATACTAAAGTCTTTCAGATTATTGAAGTAAGAATCAACAAAAATAATTTATAAAAAATGACAAGATGTAGACAAAGTAAACCCCTATGTAGAAAATAAAGTTTTTAAAAAAGCTAAAATCAAAAAACCAGTTCAGTAAAGTTAATATACAAGATCAATACATAAAATAGACCCATTTCATTTCTATACCCTATAGTGAAAACACAAATATGACATTAAGAAAGTAATTCCATTCACCATAGTATAAAAAAAAACACTTAGGAAAAAAACTAACATAGGAATAGCTAGACTTGTATACTGAAAACTAAAAGACATTGCTTAAAAATAAAAGATAATCTACATACAAGGAAAGACAGCCCATGTTCATAAACAGAAGACTTTATATTGTTAAAATGACAATACTGTCTAAATGCACCTAAAGATTCAATTCAATAGCTATCAAAATTCCAACTGTTTTCTTTTTTTAACAAGAATAAAAAAATAACTGAATCTAAAACATACAAGGAAATGCAAAGGACTCAGAAGAGCCACACTCTCTTGAAAATGAACAAAGCAGGGCGCCTGGGTGGCTCAGTTGGTTAAGCGACTGCCTTCGGCTCAGGTCATGATCCTGGAGTCCCAGGATCGAGTCCCGCATTGGGCTCCCTGCTCGGCAGGGAGTCTGCTTCTCACTCTGACCCTCCCCCCTCTCATGCTCTCTGTCTCCCATTCTCTCTCTCTCAAATAAATAAAATCTTTAAAAAAAAAAAAAAAGAAAATGAACAAAGCAGGAGTTACATTTGCTAAATTCAAAACTTACTATAAAACTACAGTAATCAAGACAGTGTGTTGCTTCCATAAAGGTAGGTAATGATCAACGGAATACAACTGAGAAGCCAGAAATAAACCCTTATATTTATGGTTCATGTGAGTTTTGACAAGAGTTCTAGACAATTCAGTGAGGAAAGAATAGAAAAGCAAACGCTGGGAGATGTTGTGGATTTCCAGACCACTACAATAAAGTGAGTATCAAAATACAAAGAGTCAAATGAAGTTTCTGGTTTCCCAGTGCACATACAACATTTTGTCTAGACTATACTGTAATGTCTTAAGTGTGCAACAGCTTTAGGCCTAAAAAACAGTGGAACTATCTTAAAAATACTTTATTGCTAAAAAATGCAAAGTATCACTTGAAGTTTCAGCTAGTTATAATTACTGATCACAGATCATAACAAAATACTATGAAATATTTCAAAAATTGCCAAAATGCAACAGAGAAATGGAGTAAATGCTGTGAAAAAGATGGTGCAGGATTGCCATAAACCTTCAATTTGCAAAAAAAACCCAGTATCTACAAAGTGCAGTAAAGCAAAGCACAATAAAACAAGGTATGCCTGTTGTCTTTCCAAAAATAGTGCTGGAATAATGTAATATCCACATGCAAAAGAATGAATTGAGACCTCTATCTCACACGACATAAAAAAATTAATCCAAGTTGAAGATACCTAAATATAAGAGCTAAAATTACAAAACTTTTTTTTTTTAACGATTTTATTTATTTATTTGACAGAGACAGAGAAAGCGAGAGCAGGAACACAAGCAGCGGGAGTGGGAGAGGGAGAAGCAGGCTTCCCCCCGAGGAGGGAGCCCGGTGTGGGACTCGATCCCAGGACCGTGGGATCATGACCTGAGCCGAAGGCAGACACTTAACGACTGAGCCACCCAGGTGCCCCTAAAATTACAAAACTCTTACAAGAATATGTAGTTAATCTCCACAACCTTGGGTTATATATTACAACAGAACTATAAATGAGAAAATGAGACACTGATAAACTGGACTTCATCACAATTTCAAACTTTGTGCTTTAAAGAACACCATTAAGGGGTGCCTGGGTGGCTCAGTTGTTAAGCGTCTGCCTTCGGCTCAGGTCATAATCTCAGGGTCCTGGGATCGAGCCCCGTGTCGGGTTCCCTGCTCCACGGAAAGCCTGCTTTCCCTCTTCCGCTCCCCCTGCTTGTGTTCTCTCTCTCGCTGTGTCTATCTCTGTCAAATAAATAAATAAAATCTTAAAAAAAAAAAAAAAACCACCATCAAGAAAATGAAGATAACCCACAGACTGGTAAAAGGTATCTATAAATCATCTCATAAGGTCTCTCATCTAGAATATATAAAGAAATTTTACAACTGAAAAAATAAAACTAGGGGCACCTGGGTGGCTCAGTCATTAAGTGTCTACCTTCAGCTCGGGTCATGGTCCCAGGGTCCTAGGATGGAGCCTGTGTTGGGCTCCCTGCTCAGTGGGAAGCCTGCTTCTCCCTCTGCACCCCCTCTCCCTGCTCGTGCTCGCTCTCTCCAAAACATAAATAAAATCTTAAAAAAAAAGAAAGAAAACAAAACTGGCGCCTGGGTAGCTCAGTTGGTGAAGCATCTGCCTTCAGCTCAAGTCATGATCCCGGGTCTTGGGATCGAGCCCCACATCAGGCTCCCTGCTAAAGGGAGCCTGCTTCTCCCTCTACCATTCCCCTAGCTTATGCTCTCTGGCTCTCTATCTCTGTCAAATAAAGAAAGAAAATCTTCAAAAAAAGAGAAAGAAAAAAGAAAACTAATCCAGTTTTAAAACATACAAAGGATTAACATTTCTCCAAAGAAAATGTACAAATGGCTAAAAAGCACATATTAAGATGCTCAAAATCAATAATCATTAAGGAAATGTAAATCAAAACCATAATGAGGAATCAAATCCA